GTAAATGTTCTCAGAAAATACAAAAAATATTATAATGAATAACGTAATCAGAATGAAGTATCTAAATTCAATAGTATGATTTACATGTATTTTTATATTTTATGAGATTTTCTGACATAAATGTTATTAGAATTTAATAAATAAACTTTTTAACTAAAAAAAATTACAACAATCACATTTTTTTGATGAAATTGTACATAATGATTAAAATAAATTTTCGAATTCGAGTTTTTTTCGTTATTCATTATAATATTTTTGCATTTTCTGAGAACATTTACCATAGTAATGTATATTTTTTTACACCATCAGAAAGTAGAGATTTCAACAAACAAAAAGCACACCGACTTTTTAAAAAAAGCTGATATTTTGACGCGAGAATTTTCGATTGAAAATTAGGGTGCTTTTTTGATATTAAGTCAAAATAAGGCGAAATAATAAATATTTCAAATCAAATAAATTACAGTGTATTTGGGACAATAAAAGGTAAGTTTTCACCAAATTTCGTGGAAAAAAAATTTTTTTTGAAAAAGATAAAAATAAAAAACCAAAAACTTGGTTTTTTGAATTTTTCCCATAAATTTGGAGGTTATGTAAAAAAATTGTAATTACAAAAGTTGTAGATCCTTTTATTACCTACAACTTTGCCATTTAACTTTTTTCCATAGGACTTGTAGTTTTGCTGGAAATCGAGATAAACCATTTTTTACCCTTAAAACCCCCCCTCCCACTTCCCAAAGTCAGATCGCCCGTAATTTATTTTTCCTTTTATTTTTATTATATTCTTCTCCTTTTCCAATGGGTTTCATCCTACTTTTATTTTTTTTGGTTTCAAAAATTATCGACCCTGGTCTAATAAAACTCTAAAAATAAATAAACTGAAAAATTAAATTAAATGTTCGAACAAGCAATTATTAACGGTTCGTCGAATTGTTTCTCTGTTTGGTCTGGCCTCGAACATTCCCGCAAATAATCTTTGAATTTCTCGTTCAGAATTACCAGCAAAATGCCAGATTAAAATCTGAACTTTTTGTTCCAACGTGTACCTACATTTTTTAATTAAATAATCTTTTTTACTAAAATTACTACCTCTTGGCAAGAGGCTCTTGCTGGCACCACTGCAGTTCTCGTTCTGATATTCTCGTGTCAAGCACGCTGCGAGGTGCGCGATGGGTATGCGTTGTAGTAGCCTGCCGGCTGGCCAATCAAATTCTATTTGGCGTTCTATCCTTGTTCTTTTCACGCGGGTATTGAACAGCCGTCCTTTCCAGTGTGGTCGGACTTGGATTTGCAAGCACTGTATACGCAGCCCCAATAAATTAACGCACCACTAGTAAATTTAAAATTATTTTAGTTTTAAATTGTAATTAACAAATTAAACTCTATACGTCAATAGCTTTTATTAAATTTCTTGTAAATTAAACATTTTTTTAAAATGTATTATAATATGAATTATTACTGTTTTAAAATGCATTTGTCGGCGATTTTTTAGAGGACTCAAATATAAAAAGTTATATATAAACAATTATTTTTTGTTAGATTTCTTAAGAATGTCCAAACTTAAATTATATTGGGTAAAGTTAAACAAATATACGTACCATATTGGATCCTTTGGCAAAACATAAAAATGCAACGATTTAGTTCTTGAATTACATTTACAATTAAAAGCACAATAAGTCACCATGATCACTTAGATAAAATACACACACTAACACTATAAGCATATAAGCGTTGAGTTTTTTAATAAATGATATAAGGAATAAATCAAAATCAAGTATTAAATCTAAGTTTCGCTGTTTTTAGTTGGAACGCGAAACACAAACGTTAGTGCGCGGTTCAGCTGTGCAATTGAAACTTTGCAAAAAAATTTGTCCAGTAAGACTTCTGCCTTCCTCTCTTTTGTGAACAAACTATTTATTTATTTAAAAATGATGTGCAGTTCGTATGGCTTAAATGTATTGTTGACAAACCTTGTAGTTCAATAATGCTATAGAGCGCCACCAGATGGGGCACAGTGTTCTGAGAGGTAAATTTAAGCGGCAAAAATCCAATTTTTAAAAACGCATTTTGATGCCTCTTTATAGTTCGTGACAGATTATTACCAAAGATTTTAAACTGGGAAGTAAAATTTACTCCGTATGCATTGCGTTATAACAAATACATGAAAGAATTGTCAAAAATACTCTTACATGTACTTTCGGAATCTTGTCTTTTTCGTGTAAAAAAGGTGTTGCGTAAATATAATAGTGAGAATTAGTGTAAAAAATGTATAGTACGGATAAAGGTGAGTACAAATACAACTTTAAAATGTCTTTTTGGGACTTTTTGTCAAAAATATAGCATTTTTTAACCTACAAATTCTCAAGTGTGTAATTTGAAATAATAAATGGAATGTAAGTAAAAATTTATAATTACTTGCCCAGAACAACATAGTGCATTCGAAAATATAAACCTCCAGTTCCGACTTTATAAAATTTCGTCTGCCTTTATGCGCCTATAAGAGACTTATGCAAAAATGAAAAATGGCTCATATTATTACATAATATTGTTTTTAATATACTTCGTATATTATACAGTGTTCCCACGGATCGGATTGACAATAGAAAATTTTTTTTTTATTTTGTTACGAAAAAAACATTTTTTATAAAAACTCTTGCTTGTTTCAAAAATAAGATTCCTACACATTTTAAATTAAATGTACAGGGTCCTCAGAAAGTAAAAAAACCTAAAAAAACTAGAAGTGAGTTTTATGGAAAAATGAATTCTTTATGAAAATATTTGATGGTTAAAAATTTAGACTTTCATAAAACAATTAATGATATGTACAGGGTGATCAGAAATTAAAAAAACAGCAAAGTGCTTCAAGAGGGTAGTACAATTTTTGTATAGGAATCTCATTTTTAAAACAAGCATGCTTGCAACCATGTTTGCAAGAGTATTTAACGCATAATAAAAATAATTAGTTTTCCTAATGGCAACCATCACGATATTGGCTAAAAGGTGATTAAAAAAAATATGGTAAAATGTAAAATGTTGATATAATAATATATATATATATATTAGGGTGCTTCATTTGAAACGAACATTTTTATTTTCCCGCTGACACATGAAAATTTTGTTCCTTGTATCGAAAAAAAAATTCCCTGAAAATTTGAGCCCTTAATTTTAATTTTCAGTGGTTCCTCTCGATCGATGTATATTTCCCATTGAAATAACATGTAAATCATGATTTTTTTAATTAAAATTAACATAGCTCCGTTTGATTTTATGGTATTTCATTGCGATTAGTCAGAATTTGTAGTATATTAGTGACTCTTTGAAAGTGCCCACCAACATTTTTTTGTCCTTGAACCCGTCTCATCGGTCTCGGCCTCGAAACCCCAATTTTCTCAAAAATTGTTATATTTTCGTTTTTATCAACAAAACAGTTGAACTTATGAAAAAAATGGTCAGAAAATAATTTGTAGGAAATTAAATTTCCTACAAAAATATCCCTATATGAATTTTCTGAGGTCCATAGTCCAAAAGGTATAAACAGTTTAATGTATTAAAATCTAAAAAAAATATGAAATTTTAATTTTTATTGTATGATTTTTCAACTCTACCTCATTGTCGAATCAATATACGCTTTTTTGTAGGGATCGACCGATATGGATTTTTTGGCCGATACCGATTATCGGCCGATACCGATATATGCGATATCTATATCGGCCGATACCGATATATCGGCCTCATTTTTATTTTTTAATTATTATTATTATTATTGTTGATTTTTTCGTAAAATACTTTGCAAAAAAAATTAATGACTGAATGTGCCCTAGAAAATTTCGCTAGGCGTGGACACCTCCGAATTGACCAATAAGGACCGTGCGCTGTCCACCCAGAGCTGTGCGGTACTCGAGTACAAGTACTCAAACACTGTACTCCAAGTACTTTTAGTGTACTCGGTACTCAGTCCCGAGTACTTTAATTTGAATGTACCTATACTTGTACTTGATACATTTAAGATTGCAAAAATGTACTCGAGTACTTTTACGTGTACTCGAGTACTTTTCCGTGTACTCGAGTACATCCAAAGTATGCAATGAGTACATTTTTATGCGGTGAGGTTGGCGTGGATAAATATGTGCAAATATGTGCGTGGGTGTTGAAAATTAGGCAACACTGCTCAGACTTGTAAAATTACGGACATGCTGCCTGAGGCAGCCTCAGCCAGCTTGCCTCACACGACAGCATTAAGACAGCTTCAATCAATAAATAAAAAGACACAGGAAAGAGCATTGAAGAAAAGGTTTTTACTTATGTATGAAATGTAATTTTGTTTATAGGTAGAAATAAGGTGACAATATTCCTCAAAAGGATAATTAAAAAATAAAGCTAAGGCAAAGGAAAACAAGATACTCGCCGGCCTTGATAATTAACATAAAGCGAAACATCAATATTTGATGAAGGCAATAGGCCGGCTAGAATTTAGTTTTGCACTAGTGATTCTAAATTCATTTCTTAATCGCCCCATTTCTATAGAATTTTTCCCAACATTTCATAACTAAAGTGTACTCGGTACTTTGTACTCGTATGGGTACTCGAGTACAACGGTACTGTACTTGTACTTGGTACTCGAGTACTTTTATATAAGAGTACTTGTATTCAGTACTCGAGTACTTTTTCATTGTACTCGAAACAGCTCTGTGTCCACCACGTAATTATCGCGTGGTAACGGGCCATGCGCTTGCGAAACGGCTGTTTTGTTTGTTGTTCTCATATACAAAGTTCTTTGTTTTTCGATACGTGAATTAAGTTGAATGTCATGTCCAAAATAAAAGCACTACTTTTGATGAAATACAAGTACAACATGGGACCAAAAAAAATGATTCAAGCTGTCAGCACTCGTTGTAACTCTGAGTTTTATATGTTGGAGCGCCTCTTGGAATTGAAAAAAGCTATCAATCTCTTCATTTTGAAATTTGACTGATTTGAATTATCATGAGTGGGAACTGGTACAGATCCTAATCAATCTATTGAAGCCCTTTGAAGAGATCACAAAAATCGTCAGTCACTCAAACTGTTGCATATCGGAAGTTATCCCACTCGTTTCAACACTTGAAGCTTATTTGAACAGTGAAGGAAGCAATTTCGCTGGCTTCGGAACAATGAAGGACGAATTAAAAAATAATTTGAAGCTTCGTTTCAAAGATGCAACTTTAAAAAATTATCTGTTGTTTGCCACGTTCCTGGACCCGCGCTTTAAAGGAAATTTTTTTACACCTAACAAATGCAAAATTGTTATTGCGGACCTTAAAAGAGAATACGAAATTATCCAAAATCACGACGTCGAAGTGGTTGGGAGTGACAAAATTGACAGTAGTAATGAAAATGTATCATTGGCAACTTTGATTTTGTCAACTGCTAGTGCAACACCACCACCATCTAAAAAAAAAAAAAATTAATGAAACCACCCGCGATTCCCACGAGCTATTTTGGTCAGTTTATAATGAATTGGCAAAAGGTCCCTCTTCTTTAAAAGCTGAACCTACAAAGATTGAGGAAGAAATAAAGGGCTACAGGACCTGTAGCCCTTTATTTCTTCCAAGCACGACCTGTAGTACAGGTCGTGCTTGGTGCTCGAAAAAACTGAAAATCCTTTTAGTTGGTGGAATAATAAGAAAGACCTGTTCCCGGCCTTGTATTTGCTGGTCAAGATTTATCTTTCTGCGCCTGCTGGGAGTGTTGCTAGTAAGCAGCTTTTTTCGCAAGCCGGTAATATTTACCAATCGGCGAGGAATCGGCTAACACCCGACAGGGCAGAAAGCCTTATTTTTCTTCATTACAATTTAGAAAAACTTAATTTTAAGTATTAATAATTAATTCAATAATTTTAAAACTACTTTAGAATATTTTTTGTTTTGTTTTTTTTTAATTAAGAATTTTTTTATGTTTATTTATTTTTTGTGTTGTTATATATAAAAGATAATACGTTTATATGATTTTTGATTTTTCTATATTTCAAGATCATTCTGAATATAATTTTTAAGTGTTTTTAAGAAGCGTTTTCAAATTTAAATATCGGCCGACATATCGGCCAAATATAGGCCGATAGGCCGATATACCGATATACCAAAATTAGGCCGATATACCGATATACCGATATAGTATATCGGTATCGGTCGATCCCTACTTTTTTGTAACATATTAACTTTATTCAATTATTTTTCAATTTTAAATCCTTAATTATAGACCAGTGCAACACACTTTCTTCAAAAAACTTATTAATATTAATTGTTCAGTGAAACATTTTACAATAATATTTATCTTAATACTTTACATCATTGATATATAATTATTATGAAATGAAATGTAAGAAAATAAATTATATACTATATTATAGTATATAATTTATTTTCTTACATTTCATTTCATAATAATTATATATCGATGCATCATGATGTAAAGTATTAAGATAAATATTATTGTACTATATTATAGTATATAATTTATTTTCTTACATTTCATTTCATAATAATTATATATCAATGATGTAAAGTATTAAGATAAATATTATTGTAAAATGTTTCACTGAACAATTAATATTAATAAGTTTTTTGAAGAAAGTGTGTTGCACTGGTCTATAATTAAGGATTTAAAATTGAAAAATAATTGAATAAAGTTAATATGTTACAAAAAAGCGTATATTGATTCGACAATAAGGTAGAGTTGAAAAATCATACAATAAAAATTAAAATTTCATATTTTTTTTAGATTTTAATACATTAAACTGTTTATACCTTTTGGACTATGGACCTCAGAAAATTCATATAGGGATATTTTTGTAGGAAATTTAATTTCCTACAAATTATTTTCTGACCATTTTTTTCATAAGTTCAACTGTTTTGTTGATAAAAATGAAAATATAACAATTTTTGAGAAAATTGGGGTTTCGAGGCCGAGACCGATGAGACGGGTTCAAGGACAAAAAAATGTTGGTGGGCACTTTCAAAGAGTCACTAATATACTACAAATTCTGACTAATCGCAATGAAATACCATAAAATCAAACGGAGCTATGTTAATTTTAATTAAAAAAATCATGATTTACATGTTATTTCAATGGGAAATATACATCGATCGAGAGGAACCACTGAAAATTAAAATTAAGGGCTCAAATTTTCAGGGAATTTTTTTTTCGATACAAGGAACAAAATTTTCATGTGTCAGCGGGAAAAAAAAATGTTCGTTTCAAATGAAGCACCCTAATATATATATGCTTGCAAGCATGTTTGTAAGAGTATTTAACGCATAATAAAAATAATTAGTTTTCCTAATGGCAACTATCACGATATTGGCTAAAAGGTGATTAAAAAAAAATATGGTAAAATGTAAAATGTTGATATAATAATATATTTTTAATACTTTGAAGGTAATGGGTTTTCGGTTATTCATGATAAAAAATTTTGCTTGCGCCATGTTGCAATCGCCAACATTGGCAATTGCTCCCTGATACAAACTATTAACATTTATTTATTTAATAAATAAATTATTAAATATAAAACATTAAAAAAAAACATAATACCAAATATTTTTGAAATTTTTTTTATCAGAAGTAAATTTAGCACCGTTAAAACATAAAAAACACACGTGTTGGAAAAAATATTTAAAGAATATATTTTTCCGCGTAAATTTACCTCTCAGACTACTATGTGGCGCGCGCGTTGCGAAAACCCGATGCTTCTTTAGCGTAGGTATATTCTTGTAGCATAAATTTCTTTTAAAGGTTTGTTCTATTTATATAAAATTTATTAAATATAATATAAAAATCATTTTATACAAAAAAAAGATAATATTATTTACCTATATTAGACTGGGCCAAAAAAATCAACAATTTTTTTTTTGAAAAGTATATCAAAAATATGGTTTGGGGTGACAAAAAAAAATTATTGTGAAAGTTTGAGTCCATAATATTAATATTAAGAGGTCTATCATAGCAATTTTAATTTTTTTTCCTCAGCAAGTTTTTGTCCCAGAACTCCCAAACCATTAAGTTTAACAAAATTGACTGGAAAACATTTTTGAAGAAAATTGAATGCTCTAACAAAAAAAGGTTAAAGTAAAATTATCCGTCAGATGAACCGTTTCCTTAAAATCATTCCTTAAAAATTGGTATAGTTTTACATTTTGATCTTTTAAATTGAAATTTTGTAATTAATGTAAAAATCAGTACCCATAAAAAAACCAATAAATATTCTTATGGGAAATTAAATGCTTTACAAAAAAAGCCTCTCAACATTTAGGCTAAATTCACTCAATCAAAAGTTATTCAGGGTTAAAATTTCGTTTTGACTTCAAATTTAACCTTGAATAACTTTTGATTGAGTGAATTTAGCCAAAAATGTTAAGAGGCTTTTTTTGTAAAGCATTTGATTTTCCATAAGAATATCCATTGTTTTTTTTCTGGGTACTGATTTTTACATGAAATACAAAATTCCAAAGTTAAAATATGAAAATGTAAAACTATAACAATTTTTAAGGCATGATGATGGAAACGGTTGATCTGACAGAAAATTTCGTTTTTATCTTTTTTGTAAAGAATTCAATTTTCTTCAAACAATATTTTCTGGTCAATTTTGTTAAACTCAATGGTTTGGGAGTTCTGAGACAAAAACTTGCCGAGGAAAAAAATTAAAATTGCCTCTTAATATTAATATTATGGACTCAAACTTTTTTTTTGTCACCCCAAACCATATTTTCGATATACTTTTCAAAAAAAATAGTTGATTTTTTGGCCCCAGTCTATAATATATAGGTACTTATATTAAAATGTAAATAAAACTAATTATAGAAAATTGTAGTAAAATTTTTTTAAGTAATTCTAAATTACAAAAAACTTCATAAAATCTTTGCTTTAAAGTTCTGTGCGTCGGAAGTCACCCTAACCTACCCCGTGACAAAATCCTAGGGGTGGCATTTGACGTGCGCGTGCCGATATAATCCGCTCCTCTGTTGAGTCTCAAGGCCCGACAGCTGAGTTGTTTTCTTCGGTTGTAATTCGTAGTTAAAAAATGCGCGAGGGTCGTTTTTCATTTATTCTCTCGTTTTATTACGTCAATTGTGGCACCAATGATTAAGGGTCACGAAGTTATTGCAAGTTGGGACAACCCCCGGGCGAAATAGGAATAATAAAATTGGAAATTAAGTATTCTAAGCAAACATATTGCGATTTTATTTGAGTTTAGTCATGGAAAATGGGGGGAATCATGTTTGATCATAAAATTATAATATACTATATATATTTATTAATATTGCATTGTAGGAATTCATAATCTATTTAATAGTAAGTAAATTAAAAAACTTATTTTTATTATTTAAAAAATATTTTATTATTTATCATAAACAAAAATCATGTTTTAGAAAAAAGGCTTGATTAATAATAAACCCTGACGTGAAATGACCCATATATAATAAATTATTATATACGAGGTGTGTTCAGAAAATAACGGGAATTGTTAAATTTCGCGGGTTCGGAGGGTCCAGTTGTCATAAAATTTTCTTTATTATGTTGGTATACATGCTCCGAAGTATGATAAAAACTTTAGCTGTTTTCATTGTTTACTTTGTCTGTGGCAGCCGCTAAGGTTAGACGTGTTTTATGAGCTCGGCGATTTTTCGTTAGTTAAAAGAAATGGATCAAAGAATTTGTATCCAATTTTTCTTAAAAAATGAAATAAATTCTGTGAAATGTTAAGAAAGGCCTATAGTGAGTCTGCTATAAGTAAAACAAGAATTTACAAGTGGTATAAGAGTTTCCAAGATGGCCGTGAAAATGACGAACGCCCCGAACGCACATTAACAACCGATAAAAACATGGAAAAAGTGAAAGAAATGGTTATAAACCATCAGAGAAGTCGCTGATGATGTTGGTATATCGATTGGCTCATCCCATGAAATTTTTTCGAATGTTTTGGGTATGAAACGCGTGGCAGCAAAATTTGTTCTAAAATTGTTAAATTTTGAACAAAATTTTTGGACAAAAACAATACTGCAATGATGCCCCAGCCTCCATATTCGCCAGACATGCCTCTGTCTGACTTTTTCCTATTCCCAAAAATAAAGAGAACCTTAAAGGGTCGTCGTTTTGCAAGCATAGATGACATTAAAAGCGCATCGCTGAAAGAACTAAAGGCTATCCCAAAGATCGAGTTTTAGAACTTCTAAATTTTAAATTAGAAGTGTTTCGAGTATTGGAAGAAGAGCTGGCACATGTGCATAATATCCAATGGGAACTATTTTGAAGGCGACAACATTAATGTAGACAAATAAATAAATATTTGTTTCAAAAAAACGAAAATTCACGATATTTTCTGAACACACCTCGTATGGGTCATTTTAAGTCATATCAAACAGTTCACCATACAGACTCAGATTTTCCTCAAATTTTGTGTAAATGATATACAGAC